TAATAATTTGTATCTGTTATATTATAACAACGTAGTTGTATTCAATTATCAAGATTTTGACCAAACGGAAACAAATTTATAAACTTTTAAAAATAATATTTTATTAAAATATTATTTTAAATTAAAAACGTCGATAAATAGATCAAATGAAGATAAAATATTTTGAAATTGTTGTCATGTAGAAAATGATAGTATGAATATTTGGTGGAATCGAAAGTATCTACTATTATTCGTTTTTAATAACAACAAAATAAGAAAATCATTCGATTAGAATTCGTTAAAACGGTTGGAAAAAATTGTTTGACTTTCAGGTCAACTTTATTTTTTGTTAAAGGTAGGTGAACTTATAAGGAATCTTGTACTCAATTTTAAAATCTTAGATTAAATAGAAAATATTTTTATGAATTTCTAACTTGAAAATATAATTGGTGAATTTTCGTGATTTTGTCGAAATACTAACTTCAGGCGCTCATAAAATTTTTTGAACTCAACTTTTTTTAATTTTAAATCAACACCAACTTGTATTCAATTTTCAAGTATTTTGACAGAACAAAAAATTTTGAAACGATTTAAAATTATAAAAATTAATAAAAAGCGAAATTGTCTTATTATGCCTATAGAAAGTGGTGCCGAACACGTACGAAGTCAACGTATTAAAGTCAATTATTGAACTGCTTTAAAAATTGGGTACCTGGGTGGGTAAAATAATAATAAATATTTCCTAGTTTTTCTCCTATAACTTTATTAACCCCAGGAATGTCAATAATCTCATTAAATTATTTATATATATTATTTAATTAGTTAAGCTCGTTTCACAGTCGTTTGAAGGGGTGGGTTGGTAAATCATTTGAACTACCAACAAAAAAATAAATAAATAAAACACATTCATCATTTTAAAACAAATACATTCGTCGCTCTGCTCAAAATCTAAAATATGAAGATGACAGTGTGTGTTGTGGGCTTGCTAGTACTTACAATCTGCATACCTATTTAATTTCCAAAAAGGTAACATTCCGGCAGGGAAGTCGTAAAAACTACATAAATCGTTGTTTTAAAATGTCATTATTGTCAATAATATTATTGCTAATGGTTAGCTCTCAGACTGGCTTAATAGCCCGAGTACCTAAGGTATAGCTGTATAGGTTAGGAATATGTACATTATTCTATCGCATTGCTAATATTTTTTTAATGAGCTATGTTCAAGACCGACGAAAAAATAATTATTATTATAACGATAAACAGACATTTTAACTTGCTGACCGTATATATGGACTAAAAGTTCACTTAATATATTAATTGTATTATAATTTATAATACACCAATAATATTATTATTATCTCAGTATAAGTGTATAACATTCCAAGAACTATTTTTAAATGCAATGTTATATATTATAATATACTTATCTATCCTATTAAAAAAAATTTACCTAAAATAGGTATCTATAATAAATTCCAAATTAATCAGTTCACAATATCCATCAGGTACTTATAATGCGTTATACGTCAACAACGAGCCCCGATACTGTCATAGGGCATACTCCATAGATATATAATAGTGTACTTTAGAAGTTTCAAGTACCCACGAATAATACTACACAATCACAACAAAATAACTAAATTAGTTATTCTAGGTTTTTTAGATTCTGAGTGAAACGATGAATGTATTGATTTTACAATGATGTGTGTTTTTATTTTTTTTTGTGTCCGTCATCACGTTTTAGGACAGTAAAAGTGCTTGGATTTTCGTCAACAGTAGCTTTTCTGATAGGAAAGTGAATCTAGTTGGTATTTTTCTTTTTAAATCTAAGATATGAAAATGTATTGCAAGATTCCTCATAATGGTGTATAGGAAATGCTAATAAAAGCATTCAGTAAAATTTTAGTATCTACAGTCATTTGTTTTTTAATTAAAACAAAATTAGAAAATCGTTACATGAGAAATCGAGTGAATATCAAATGTTGTAAAAATATGAATTTCAAACATTAATAAAAATTTAATTTGAGTTTCTTGAAGACATTTTTTTTTTTTTGATAAAGGTAGACAAACTTATGGGGAATCTTGCAATACATTTTCATATCTTAGATTTAAAAAGAAAAATTTTAATGAATTTGTGTGTTTTATTTTAATTTTTAGATTCTGAGTGGAACGATGAATGTATTGATTTTACAATGATGTGTGTTTTTTTTATATTTTTAACTTTTTGTTTGTCTGTGTCTGTCATCACCTTTTTGGACAGTAAAAGTGCTTGAATTATCATCAACAGTTTTATGAATATCAATAAAAATTTATTAGTTAGTTAAAAAAGCTTGAAAATTTCATAGGGAGCTTCTAGTATATTGTTTCAAAGAAAGATGAAAAATATTAAAAATAATTAGTTACAGCTTTTTTTTATAAGCATTTAAAGATCGAATTCTGAGAAAATATATCAAATTTAAAATTGAATAATTATTTTGTAGTTAAAAATTTATAAAATGTACAACTTTTATTCTAAGGATTGAATATTTAAAACAAGATTCCAAGTAAGTAGTTAATTCTGTTACCAAAAAAATCTAAAAAATATATAATCACAGTTAATTTTTATAGTCATTTTAAGTTCAAATTTAGAAGAAATTACACAATAAAAAACCTAGAATAACTATTTTAGTTATTTTGTTGTGATTTTATAATATTATTCGTGGGGACGTGAAACTTCTAAAGTTCACTATTATATATCTATGATAGTATCAGAGTTCGTTTTTGATATATAGCACGTTATAAGTACCTAATGGATATTGTGATATGATTAATTTGGAGTTTATTATAGGTACCTATAATTATAGGTCAATATTTTTTAATAAAATAGATAAGTATATAATATGTCTTATACCTAGACGGCTAGACTGACATATCGTCTCAGTTCAGAATCGTTTTTCTTATACAATGACATTATATCATTGAAATCAAATTTAATATTATCCATTATACAGTAACCCACTTGTAACCTACTGTACAGCAGAGCACCTTATTTTTTATTTTTTATTTTTTTTTGTGCCGGTCATCAAATTTTAGGACAGTAAAAGTGCTTGGATTTTATTCAACAGTATCTTTTCTGATAGCAAAGTGAATCTAGTTAGTACTTGGGAGGGGGGGGGGTCAAAAGTAAAAATTTCAAAAGTAGTTTTCAAAAGCTAGGTGAAAAATAAAAGGAAAATTAAGGAAAAACGGGAATTTTTACGCAAAATGTGTTTTCGAGAAAATCGATTTTGGTTTTTGGTGTATTTTTAAAACAAAATACCGTAGATAAGTGAAACTTTCACTGGTTGTTTATACTTGCATTTTCACGATAACATTTTGAAAATATTTTAATTTATTTTGAACTCTTTCGGGACATTTTCAATATCCAATTTTATTAGTTTTTTTTTTATGAATATCAATAAAAATGTATTAGTTGGTTAAAAAAGCTTGAAAATTTCATAGGGGTCTTCTAGTATATTGTTTCAAAGAAAGTATCAATATTCAAGATCAACAAAACTCCGCTTCTGATAACGTCCCGAAAATCTAAAAGAGTCGCACTATTAAACGGCCATAGGTGGCGCTACGTACGTTAGGGCTGCTACTTTAATCCGTGTAGGGTTTATTCATGTTTTTGCGTTTTTAGAAAAATAAATGCATTATTTTGATCCATGTTTAAATTTTACAGCTTGTACGATAACACATTTATACATGTGCATAATTTGTCAGATATGTGTATATTTCATAAGCATTCAACATTCTTAAGAAACAAATTTGAGTGTATAATTGAGTAACGACACATATGTATCGGTATAAAACGATCGTTCAAGAAAACACATGTCTATAGTAGTATAACTTTTTAAATGAGGTATTTTAAAATGTTTGTAACTTTTCAACTTTTCTGGTAAAAAAATGCTCTGATCATAAGCTTCGATGCCCAGTGTATGTTTTTGGAAGCAAATTGGATCTAGTTGGTACTTTTAGGAGGTCGAAATTGAAAATGCTCAGTGCTTTTAAAAATAATTGGAGAAAAAAAAATGAAAATGTATTTAAATGTTTGGTTATACCGTCTTCACTTGGATTGTATTTGAATAATTAATTTCTTTTTTCTATAAATGTCAATAAAAAATTATTTATCCGGAAAAAAAACCTTAAAAATGTAATACCTACGTAAGTTATTTTATTATAGCTAAATATTAACGACACATAAGCATAGTGTTTGAAAATTTCATGAAATTTAAAAAAATGAAAATTCCCTATTTTCCTTACTTTTTATTTTGTTTTTCACGCCGATTTTGAAAACTACTACTATTTTCACTTTTGACCCCCCCCAAAGTACCAACTAGATTCACTTTCCTATCAGAAAAGCTACTGTTGACGAAAATCCAAGCACTTTTACTGTCCTAAAACGTGATGACGGACACAAAAAAAATAAAAACACACATCATTGTAAAATCAATACATTCATTGTTTCACTCAGAATCTAAAAAACCTAGAATAACTAATTTAGTTATTTTGTTGTTATTGTGTAGTATTATTCGTGGGTACTTGAAACTTCTAAAGTACACTATTATAAATCTATGGAGTATGCCCTATGACAGTATCGGGGCTCGTTGTTGACGTATAACGCATTATAAGTACCTGATGGATATTGTGAACTGATTAATTTGGAATTTATTATAGATACCTATTTTAGGTAAATTTTTTTTTAATAACTGATTTCCTGATAAAATACATTTAAAATTTGAGGTTATGAAAGTATCTAACTTAATTTTCATTTAGGCTAAGCAACAATGATAATAATGATAATGGAAATTTGCTTGAATGCGTTATTTTTTCAATTATGATGATCATCTTAAAAAAAAATATTTCAACGTTGAAACTGTTGAAGGATAATATAAATCGATAGTTTGGTAAATTTATAAGAAATATTTAAACTGAAAATTATAATAATTGTGATTTACTATTACCGTTATATATATTTTTCTTTTAGGCCTTTTTTAAGAATGACAGGCTTTACAGGTTTCAGTGCACCTACATCTTCCAGCTTTGGAATGAAAACTCAAACAACTGCTAGTCCATTTGGTAATGATTATAATTCAAATGTATCAAATTTAGATATTATTTTTTTTTATGTACTTATAAAAGTACCATGAAAAATTAATTTTTACAAACTATAATATTGTATTAAAATACCTAGGTAAATATGTGCAAAATTACCAGTTAATTCAATGCAATAATATGAATCTTAAATTATAAAAATTTTACAAGTTACATTTGATACAGAAAATTATATTTTATTTCGCTTAAACCAGGTTACAAAAATAATCACTTAACATTTAACGAATCAATAGTGAGCTAAAGGTCCCTTAAATATGGTTTAGTGGTTCATGATCGGTTGATCGGTCTGTCACTTTTTATTGAAACATCAAATTATTCTTTATTAATTTTGCCTTCAACCTGGCATTAGAATTATGAACACAATCAAAACAAATAATTTCTTAATGATATGTACATACAATTTGAATGTATTAATGAATAGTTAATATTTAAAAAAAATTATTTCTTAAGAGTATAAATATTAAGTGGTACATATTGATTGTGACAATTTTTTAAAGTTAAAGATTTTCCTAATTTTGTAAATTGAATCGTTTACATAATTTATTACTTAATATGCTTTTTTTTTTAAGGCTATGGCATCACAACATCATCTGTAGCTCTATCATTTGGATTTGGTTCTACTACAGCTTCAGGTAGTCAAGCTTCTTATTTTGGTTTTGGAGCCACTACTACTACAGCCCCAACTTTTGGATTTGGTGCAGCTGCTGCAGCTCCATCATCACAATTAATATTTTCTGGTTTTGGGCAATCACAACCTACTGCATCAGTTGGTAATTCATATTTGAATAATCAAAAATAAAATAGTATTTTTTAATTTTGAGTGCAATGTTTGTAGCTACTTCATTTGGAGGGTTTGGTTCATCATTTGGAGCGAATTTTACTACTCCTTTTGGTCAAGGTGAATATTATTCAGAATAATTTAATCTATTATTAAGCTAACCCAATTAAAAATGTTACAATATGTTCCTTTAGTAAAAAAATGAATAAAGCCATTTTCTTTTTTTATTATGTACCTACTCAATTATTTAAGTTATAACTATAAAATACAATCTTAAATATATACTAACATAAGCTACAGAACAGATTAAATTAAATTAATTCTGTGCTTAAGCTAAAAAAACTAAACAGTCTGCTTATCAAGCTGCAGTCAAGCTTGTCTGTATTAACAAAAACTCATACAAAATAAAAATCAATTCATACACATTATACAGTGGATTCCGCTTAATGTTGCCACCTGTTAATACGGGCATCTGCTTATTGTGGGTAAACATGTCTGGTCCTAATACAAATGTATATTAACAATGAATAAAACCACCTAATATGGGCACTCTATTTGGTTTGTGTGGGTAATTTTATTTTATCATAGCGTTAGAATATACCCAATATATGTATTTAAAACGACTAATTTAATCAGGTTTCGTCGCATCTATGATATTGTATTTATCGAAAGTAATAAAAATCATAACCATTTAAACTTTAATGGGATTTTGATGTGAGTAAATGTTATTAGATGCAATAAAAATAAAGCAATAAACGGCACGTGTTCTGTAACAGGTCAAAAGCAATGGAGAGGATTACAGTTTTATTATGCGTCAATATGACCAGGAGTGATAAAAGAAAGTTACTAGTATTGGGGAAAAGCTTAAAACCTAGATGCATAATACAAATAATAACTTTTTGTATTATAATTTTTTTTTTAATATTTTAACTAATTTCGGTTTTAATGCCCAACCTAACCTTAATGTGGGCAAACAGGGCTGGTCCCAATATACCCTATAGAATAATAATATGCTATTCCATCTCGATAGCAATGTATGGACCCAAATGTTAGTGGTGGGGTGGCTAAAATCCACTGCAGCTGATAGAGTAGTCAAAACCATCACATTGGATTGGTTATGTTCTCGTTTCAGAGTATTTTTCAAATCTAAATTATTCAACTTTTTTAATTTTAGGTAATACTACTCAACAACAACAACAACAACAACAACAACAACACCAGCATCAACAACCCTTACCTAATTCTAATGATTTAGTATTTAATTCAATTGTAAATTGTAAATTATTTGGAGATGAAAGAGATCAGGTTATTTGTAAACTTAACTTCTTGCAAGCTTGTTGGGGTACTGGAAAAGGTAAAAACCATTAAGTATTGTACCTATATTATTTCATATTTACTAATATTAATGGTTGTATTATTTTGTTTATTACTATGAATATTGATTATTATTTATTTATATTAACATTTTTAAGGATTTTATGAATTGAATATGCCACCTGTTGAGTATACTCCACAAAACCCGCTCTACCGTTTTAAAGCTATTACATACAGTGTGAAACCAACATCATCAAGTAAAGATGCACTTGTGGCAATTAATATTAATAAAAAAAGGGATGAAATAAGGTTATAATAGTTTTTAAAAATAAAAATTTTAATAATTAATATCTATTTTTATTATTAATTTAAACAAAAGTGATAAATAGGTATGATAATAAATAGGTTTGTAATTGCCGTGATGCAATGCAGAAAATATTTATTGCACTCTTTTGACTTATAACTGGATCTTTCAAAAAATGGCACAAAAGGAATAACAACAAATGTGTTGAGTATAATATATACCTAAATACATTATTGATAAGCTATAATAGTTTATTAGTCCTTATTTACTTAAGTTTAAATCTTAATAACACTCCTTTAATGTTAAAATAACACCACTGAAATTGACTCCTATTAAGTAATATGTACAATGATTTTGGTTTAATATAATTTTTGTCATTTAAAATTTTTATTTTCGTTATCATTAATTTGCAGTTTATCTTTTACAAGCATAGATCAAATTATTGAGAATTACCTATTATTTTATAATCTATTAGTTTTGATTTACTTGTTATTATTCAAATTTAATTTTTTAGGAAACATGAAGTACAGTTCACATCTTATTTATTTGCGGTATTGGGAAGTAAACCATATTTAAGTGTACATTTAGATACATTAAAATCTTACACAGAAACTAAATCAATGGCTTTAATATATGTCGAAGAAAAACTTCAAAACGGTGTGTTCTGTAAATTTTGATTTTAAGAGAAAACCAAATTATAATCCAAATAATCATGGTGTGGTTCTAGGAAGTACAAAACGAATATCTAATATTGATATAATTAACTATCTAATGCAACCAGCTCCCAAGCAACAATTATCAAGTATAGGCGTCGAAAATTTATTTCCATATACTGGTTTTACTGAAGAAAATCTACGCAAATATTATGAAAACCCACCAGCTGGTATAAACATTTGTAACTATTAAGAACTATATTTTAGTGTAATACATACTTCACTTTATTTGTAATCATAAGCCAAAATGTACGTGATAATTAAAGCATAAATATGCTATAAAGTATAAAGTAAAGCTGACCGAGCATATTTAACTATACTAGCAGTGTTTGAATTGGGAGCGGATAGAGCTCCTATAATATTTACATTTATATTTTGAGAGCACCTTTAATATACTAGTTATAAGTTATAACGGAAGGATATTTCAGAATATTTGTCTTATATAATATATTTCTAACATATGTTAATATTTATTTTGTCAAAATCATATTGAATATGTTATTGAAATTCAATTTAATAACAACTTTATGATTATGATGGCATGCTTCATTACAGGTATGGAGTATAATTTAATTGTTATTTAAAAAAAATAAATTAAAATACGTTAAATTAATTTAAATTATTGTTCTAAAATATTTGCATAAATTGTTCATAAGTAGTAGTTACTAATTGTATAGGTACTCTCATATTGTAATTACTAATTATTTGTATGAGGATTGATAGTTGAAAGATTGAATTGAAGATAAGAGGTAAGAAGTTATGTCCAGTCCATTATTTGAAGGAAGATGTAATTTTTCAATTTTAAGTCCCCATTGTTTAATTTATCCGATTCCAGCTACCATGTTCTTTTTTTAACTTGAACTGAGGGTTACTCAATGTTATAATGATATCAGTTCATAGGCGCAATACAAATGTAGTGTTCCAAATTTAGAAATCTTTTATTCTATCATTTTTTTCTTGAAATTCGGGATAATTAATCACTATGACATTTAATTATATCTTACAGGATTTGATTTACGAGTGTGGAAACAATCTCAAGCAGATAATCCAAATCCAGCAGTATTCATACCAGTGCCGATTGTTGGTTTTTCAGAGTTATGTTGGAAGTATAAATGTCATAATGAACAAGTTACAGTACATAAGTTAACACTTAACAGCATTGCAGACAGAGTATCAGAATTAGCTAGGAAAAAAACAAGAGTGGAATCTAAGCTGGAACAATATACAGATAAAATGGATCAATTAACACACAGGATTGTTAAAGTATTAGTAGGTCAAATGGCCATATTAAATGAAGGAATAGCTCTTAGACCCGAAGAAGAAACAATAAAAAATCAATTAGAAATTGTATACAACAATATTAATTCATTAAGATTCCAAGTATGTAAAAATAACTATATATGTATGTATATTACATCAATGATTTGTTGTTGAAACTTTTTTACCAATTTAAATTATGGCTTTTAAGGGAAAGTTAACCAAAATTGCTACTCTTGTTCGATTAAGAAATTCAGAACTATCAGAAGGCTCAAAAAGTAATTCTGCTTGTATTCCGCAAGTACCTAGCTGAAGAAATTAAGAATGTAAGTAAAAATATAATACATTTTTTATATAAAGATATTGTATATATAAATTGTAACAAACTATATATTATACAAATAACTGTTATTTAATTGTATAGTTCTTAGAACTTCAACAAACAATGATATCCGAAATGCAGACAGTAGTCAAAGAAGATTTCAAAGCTATAAACTTCATGAAAGAGTCATTAAGAAATATAAGATAGTTGATTGAATAATAATATATTGGCAAATAAAATATGTATTATTATTACGTATTAATAATAACATTCTATGCAGTACCTACTGGTTATTATTTATAAAATATAATGTCTTTGTACATAATCTAAATTTGTTAAAAAAAAAATTATTATTGTAGTCTTAATTTTACAGTTATTTTTTATTGCAGTTGAATACTGTTCTACTTTATACTTTATATATAATACTATTAAGTTTTAATATTTAAATAGATTATGATTTATTCTGTAGTTTTTTTAATGATAATTAATATTTAATATATTTTACAGCAAATGCTGTAATTGCAAATTCTATGAGGGATGAGACCAAAATAATTATTTTAATGTTAATTTTTTTCACAAATTTTAATTGTTTGGGTTATGTATTTATTGAATACTATAAAAAGCATCATTATTTATAGTTAGTTATGGACGAGTCGAACTTAAGTTTTCTTAAACTTGAATTTGAATCTAATTCAAATTTTCTAACTTTTAAAAATTTTGAACTTTAATTATAAACATTACCTTAGAAGTGTTTTAATACTTAAAAAAACATGAAAATTAATTTTTCGTTATACTCAAAAATGAATTTACTATTCTTTATTAAACTACATATTGATTTAATGATTTATAATCTTATATAAAATACATTATTCATTTAATTAAAATCAATAACTGAACTAAAAAAAAAAAATATATATATTTTTTTTTCAATTAAAACATTTATTTTAAATCAGATTTGAATGGATTACATTATAAAGATGGCTCTTTTTAATCAATTTTAAAGGTTGAGGTTCGAATTCCCTTTCTTCCCACATCTTTAAGGGGGCTGGAACTTGATTTATTTTCGGTCGAAATCATGGATCACTACTTCAATCATTACGCCCAATACAATTTTCTGATATTAACTTTGATAGCAGATTTGAATTCATCACTAAATTATTTATGCTTTGACAATTTAATTTTTCTGATTTTTATTTTTTTACTTAGAAATTTACCAACAAAAATAGAACTAATAGAACATATTCATAATTAAAATTTAAATACATTGATGTAGCATATGAAAAATGTAAGTGGGTGCTGCTCTGCTGTACAGTAGTTGTAATGGATATGTTAAATTTGAATACAATGATAAACCATTGTATCTATTGAATGATGTCACGTATTGGGTAATCTTCTCAACCGTAATATGCTTAGGTTATTATTTATCTATTCCACGTCTGTTTAGGTACCTATTTTGCAGCATCACATTAAATCACATAATTTTATGCTAATTTGCTTAAACAATTTTAATTACACGTTCGATAAAATAATATAAATACCTGATAAATGCTTATGTAGTTATAGTACGTACCTATAATTACATAACTTTGTAAATATTTGGCACTTGAAAAATATTCGATTATATATTTACGTATTCAATATAAGACAGTGCAATTTTCTTATCTATTATTTAATATTCGATCGGCCTGTAAAAAATAAAACGAACTTGTTATGTAATACTGTTCTTGTTTCGTTAATTATTTTATTTAAAACAAATTATTGTCTTTCTCATTAGTGACACTCCCTATTCGAATACTTGAAACACCGTAAACTCGATTGAAATATATAAATATTAATATATATATGTATATCATATAGGTTCATCAACATAATAATTATATTATTCATATTCATTTTTACTAAAATAATCACTCGAAATTTGAATCACAGCATACGTTTAGAAACTTTAAAAAAAATATATTATACCTATATATAGGACTTATAGGTACATAATGTATGGGTAACTGATATATCGTTCATGTGGATCAATTCCACGCAATAGAAACCAGCTGGGCCTGATTGAGAGAAAGTTTGGCACCTAATATCATGTTGTATAGTCTCCTCGATACCCATCGTATCGTTTGTTTATAGTATTAGTTTTTTCAATGTCACGATAGGCGACAATCTGAACTTCGTAAAAATGTTGAAACAACAATACAGTTATTTCAAAAGTTCATTGGCCCGGATTTTATGGCCGGGTGTCGTCACTATAGGCTCGTACGATTCTTTCATTGCTATTCTATGGGTGGATCTCGTATTTTTTAAGACCAACAAGGAATATGACCTATTGCATTTACATGGTCGCCAGAAGCTTGCAGAAATTTAACCACTGTACGAACGAAATCCCAATGACTACGACGACAATGGCAAAACTGAAAATATGTTGTTAAATTGAGTAGTCAATGATATCCACTTGTTAAATTGTCAACTATGTGTATAATAAAAATTGGGTATCATATATTATATTGTATAGTGTACATAAATTATAAGCTATACCTACATATCACACGACGTAAAATGTTTATATTATGTATATGATCAAACGTATCTTGGATGATCAACATATAGTCTATTAGGGCACACATTGTTATTAGTGTAATTTAAAAATAAAGTAGAGGATAAATTAATAATGCTTTTTTGTGAGCGTCTTGAGTTGGAATTTAGCGACAAAATTAGCATAATCACTTAACTTTAAAAAGAAAATAATAAATAATATATGTTCAGTATACGGCGAGTATACCTAATATTTGTGTGTCTTAAATAATACATGTATTTTTTGTATTTTTTTAAATATCTTTTATTGCAATTTATTGTTTTATTTTTAATACCCTTTATATTACAATATATTGTGTAAAGTAATGATTAATAAATTTATATTTATAAAGTCATTTTGTTGAAAGTTAGGTTATGTTAGACATTTCAAATATTGTCTGTCGTAAATAATAAGATGAATTATAACATTACAAGCGTATAATATATACCGTTCATCCTCCGCTACTTATACATTCCTCTCTTCTAAACTAAAATGATTAATGATTGATAGTTTTTATTAATTTATAATATTATATAGTTAATTATCACTCGTTAATTTAATTGGTTTCAAACCATTGAAGTAATCTCATAAATATAAAATATTGGATAAATTTATATATTAGTTGTTAATAAAAATGTGTTCTGTATTTTTAAATTGAAATCCTGGAATAAAATTAAAAAAAATCCAATTTCATAATTAAAATATGTCTTAAAAATTATGAAAATTATATAAAACAATCACTTTTTTATAATTTAAATAGTAATTAATTGAATTATCTTTAAACAAAACAATTACCTATAAATATAGATTTAGTATTTGATATCAAATGTTTATTTTAAAATGAAAAAGATGGGTAAGTGGATGTCGCTCTGCTGTACAGTAGGTTACAAGTTACAAGTTACTATAATGGTTGTATTAAACTTGAATTCAATGATATAATGTCATTATATAAGAAAAAACTATTCTGAGAGGAGACGGTTTGTCAGTCTGGATATTTTATATTGTTCTTATTTATTATAATATCATGTAAGTGGAATTAATATTATATTATTTTTTATTCGTTTCTATGGTGATAAAGAAAGCGTTATAAATTAAATTCATATTTTTAGCGGTTTTTCGTAATTTTTCGGTGGTTTTTCCAGTGGCATTATATAACTATTGAGAAAATCAAAAAATGACCTCTCTAAAGTACCATCTTGATCCAATTTGCTAAAAGATAAGATACCTACTATATTATGTTGAAATCGAAGCACTCCTTCGGGTAGAAATTTTGTATACAGGATATAAAAAAATAAACACCATTGTAAAACCAATAGCTTCCTCGCTCCGCTCAGAATCTAAATGCACACATCATTGTAAAATCAATACGTACATTCAACTCTCCGCTCAAAATCTAAAATGACTAATAGTCTGATTTTTGCTATAGTAGATAGTTGGGTTTTTTTCGGAGATGTTTTATTTTAATATTATCCAATTTTTCCACCTTTTCCTAGGTTCTGGAAAAAAAACGGGTTTTTTTCCAAAATTTTCCAGTATTTTGATCCCTAATAATTATAAGTAACCTGTAGGAACTCTTTATATAGAAAACATAATATACTACAGCATAGGACAAATTGTGTTCACTGGTTTCAATACTGTGTCGTTAGTTTTTTACATTATAGTGAATTCAACTATTATAAAATGTAAAGGTAATATCCAGGACAAGACATAGGCTTTTGATATTATTATTTTTTTTCGTAAGTTATGACCTTTTTGAAAACGAACATAACTTACTTTATAATAATATCAATAAAAGTCTATGTCATTCCTTTTATAATAGGGCTGCCTCCACCCACTCATAAACATCACTACCACTTCTACCATTGTCATACAATTGGTAACGATTGTTTCTTATCAATAAGTTAAGGGGTCCAATTACGTACAGCAATCAGTTGCATATGTGCAAACCAGTGTACTATTAAGTTGAATAGAATATAAAAAGATTGTATTACTTTATTAACTGTGTACCCTATACTTATAAAGTTTATAATTTTACATTATAATTATAATTTAAATATAAAATATTTAGAATAATACACCCTGAAAATATTTCAAATACTTATATTAGTATACATTGTATTATAAAAATTAATAAAATACACAGTTGACTGAAAAACTTATCTAACATGTAATATTTATAATAATTCTCTTTAAATACTATACTGTGAATTTGTAACAAGATATACATCATTAAAGGATATTTTATGTTTATCACCCAAGGTATATTAATTATAACATAAAAATACAATTATTCTAAAATCATGTTCGATGTACTTAAAAAAAGTATGCTAAAATATTAAGTAGTATGATTTCTTGTTTGAATACCTTTTAATTATAAACACATAAAATATTATTAGTAAGTCATAATAGACTTAATTACAAAAATTATAGATGCCAATTTATCATATTATTTTTAACTATAAAATGTTAACTAAATAATTTTAAATGTAAACCGACAACATAATTTATATTTTAAATACCAAATAAGTTAAAATTAAATTTTACACATTTTAAATAATTAAAAAAAAAATGAAATATTCAAAAACATGATTAATTCTGTAACTTTCTAAGGCTGATACATTTCAACCAAATTTACTGTATTATAATATTATAATAAAGTATTACTAATACTTCACAAACACTAGGTATAAATCCTTAAGGATAGATAAATATTAATATCATTTTTTTCTAAGGTTATTATTTGGAGATACAATTAATGAAATACAATAAAAAGTAACCGTATTGACTAATAAAACAATAATAAAGTTAAATAGCAAACATATTGAAAATTATATTTTAGAGCATAAAAATAAGTTGATTTTCATAATTAATATTTACTGTATTTGACCATGTAATATATATAACTAACTTAGTACATAACACTGCAATTAAATATACAAGAAGAAATAGTTAAATATTTATTAGAACATAAATAATGGTTATTTATATGCTCAGAAAATTATGAAAACTTCAAGTACTTCTTCAGTAATTCTAAGACATGGATTTTTTCTAAATAATATGTTGGATTCAAATGATTATTTGGGAATACTGTAAATGGTCATTTTTAATTTAATGGTCCGGGTAATAAAAACAAAAATCAATTTTAGTGTAAAAGAGGTATAAGGCAATAAGACCAGAATATTATTTGATTAATATGATCATACATTTCTATAAAACAAGAATATTAAAATAGCTAAATTATACCTTTTGCAGTTGTTACATTATGTTACAGGTTGGTTGTGTATTCACATTTATTGAAGTATCCCCAATTTCTTCATCTGCCTCAATATTATTTTGAGTGTCTCTTCTTCAGTTTTTGCATGATCACCATTGTTCTCACAAACAGCCGACTCGGGTTCTACGGTATTCTCGTTTTCAGATATGATTTCCACTTTAGAAATATTTGATTTATTTTCACTTATCGAAGTACCATATGTTATTTTTTTAAAAGGATATTTCATCAAGTTCCACAATTTAAGTAGCTTAGTAGACTTCTGATCTTGTTCTACCAAATCTTCAAATTTTCGTTTTCGCTTATTATTTAATACTTCTTTTTTCAGTAAAAAATGATCACCTTCAAACATAGTATCTAAATCCTTATAAGAACGTAATGGTGCTCTTGCTGATATATTAAAGTAAGACGCAGGTGACCCAATATTATTTAGTTCTGAATAATCATCTTGCAAATCATGTGAATCATTATCGTATAAAGAACCACTCTGAGAATATGGAACATCTAAACATTTGATTGAAGTTACCTGAAAAATTAAGTCATTTTTAAACTGAGATTTGTAATTCACATTACATATTAATTAATAAGTAACATAAAAGTAAAATATTTTGTCATGTCATATTATATAACTTCTTTCCTTGTTTTTTTAATCTTATGTTCCTAATTTAATAAGAAAATAGAGTTACAATATAAAGTCCCATATGAAACTTCATAAGTAGTTTTTTGTATAGGTTGTTACACAAGAAAAATATCTAGAAACTGTAGTCAGCATAAAATATTACTTATTACTCAAAAATATTCTAATTAATTGTACATATTTAATTACTAATGACCAGTGTTCGATGGTTATAAAAAAGGGTATAGATGGAAAATATAATTTATAACAAGTGGAGGGATTTCCCCTCGCTGATTTCGACCATTGGTATACAAAAAATAAAACATATAAAAATGTTTTAATCTTCAATCAGTTAGATATATTATCTTGAGTAGAAAAAAAATTAACATCAAAGTAAAAAATGGTTTAAATATATTTTCTTTATTTACATAAAGGAAAGATTTTTTTTTTAGAAAGCTACCCAGCCCATTCCTTTTTAGATATTATCACTAAAGACATTAAGTTAAGGTAAGACAGTAATATTATCATTGGGTTATTCATTTAAGACATATTTTGTATGAATATTTTTTCTGCTTATTGATAAAATGAGAACATGACTTAAATTCATGGTGTGCCAAGTTTTTGAGATATTAATCTAACCTGTAATAATAAATTTTTTTTTTGTTCCTTTCTAATTTTTACAAAATTATTATATTCCATTTAACTTAAACGTACTTGAATATCTTTTTCACCGTTATTTACATCTGCGTCATTTGAATTTTCATTAGAGATGTAAATAGTTTCTGACTCACGATCTTCTTGGGTGCAAATTGAACCGATAGTTATATTACGATCTGTATCATTACCCATTTCAAAATTTGGTTCTAATGACGATGTATTATCGACATCAAAATGTATTATGCTATCAGTTTTATTGTGGTTTCCGTTTAATTCGCTGCCATTAGTGTCTACAGACTTATTGAGTTTTTGTATCTCACCGTTATTTACATCTGCGTCATTTGAATTTTCATTAGAGATGTAAATAGTTTCTGACTCACGATCTTCTTGGGTGCAAATTGAACCGATAGTAATATTACGATCTGTATCATTATCCATTTCAAAATTTGGTTCTAATGACGATGTATTATCGACATCAAAATGTATTATGCTATCAGTTTTATTGTGGTTTCCGTTTAATTCGCTGCCATTAGTGTCTACAGACTTATTGAGTTTTTGTATCTCACCGTTATTTACATCTGCGTCATTTGAATTTTCATTAGAGATGTAAATAGCTTCTGACTCACGATCTTCTTGGGTGCAAATTGAACCGATAGTGATATTACGATCTGTATCATTATCCATTTCAAAATTTGGTTCTAATGACGATGTATTATCGACATCAAAATGTATTATGCTATCAGTTTTATTGTGGTTTCCATTGAATTCGCTGCCATTAGTGTCTACAGACTTATTGAGTTTTTGTATCTCACCGTCAATGTCTGTTTTTTTGGATACAATTTTTTTTAATGTCAACAAATCATCACCATTGTTAATGAATGAGCAACAGGTATCTTTTCTACTCACCAAAGCTTCGGCCATTTTTTTTTTCTAAAAACAATAAAAAATGTTTCATTTTAATAAGACTATTGAAAATATTTCATCCTTTTCAGAATAAATTAACTGAAAGACCAATTCCATTTAGAAACTTTCGTTTCCATTCCACCATAACACATTACATTTTACACAGTCTTAAAGTGTGTGTAATTAAAACAATGAATCTTTTAAAATTAAATTTGACTCAAATTTATAATTATTTCTATTTCAAAGACATGCGTACACCAATAATTTGAAATAAAACTTATGTAGTAATGTAATACTCATTTAAACCTCATACTATGTTTATATGCAATTTTTAATGCATATTTTATAAGTTCGTACAATTTCATCAAATTAAATTATTAATTCATAGTAGAATAATGAGAATTCCAAAGGCATATGTGTATACAATTTCCAAATTAATTCAATGTATGTGTCATTAACAATTACATTTAAACTAACTATGTATATGTTTATACAAAGTATTGTTTAATTTTATTATTCCTATATCTTGAAATTGTATTTGATTTTAAACAAATTAATATTTATATTCAATGACAGGAGTTGATTCAAAAAGTATGACACCTAAATAATGAAAACAGACAAATTAAATCACTCTCCACAATGATAAAAGTCTATCATTATGGCGCCCGGTGTCGATGCCATTTTGTCCTCAAAAATACACTCTGCGTTAACGATACCGCCTTGTAGAATCAACCTAATTATATAAATTTTTTTAATTGCTAGAGGGAAATATTCTACAGCCGGCATAAATCTCTGTTTTACAATATTTTATTCTCAAACTTTAAAATATGTCTAAAAAAATACAAGATATAAAGCATTTTTTTACAAATTTTTTAATACAATTATTTGAAATAAAATACAAATTCAGGTTAGGTTAGGTTAAATACAAAATCAGAGATCGATGCGGGCTGTAGGATGTCTTCTTCTTTCTGATAAAAAAATAGTCATCAAAATCCAACAATTATACAAAGCTTGAGAGTTATTCCGGTAATGTCATATTTATCGATATAATACACCCTATCAATCCCTCACTAAATAGGTTTCGGCTAGTAGATTAGTGTAAAAGTCTTATAATTGAGATGGCCACTAAAATATAAAATTTAATTTTAAAATTTTATAGAATTGTGAAAAATTTTAGTATCTGGTACTCTTATAAGAGGATGTCAGCACACGGTTGGCTTTCTCTCTCTGGCCCATAGCAAAACTAACAGCTATAAAAGTGTTTTTAAGAGCCACTCTTATGTAGTAAGCCAGCTACTACGGAGTAATACCAATTTCATAAGTACATAGTTATTATTATAATATACGATGAATCGGGATTCAGAATTAGGAGTAGTAACATTTGACAGTAACAATAAAACCAAATTCCACAGGTGCATAGTTATGATACTATACGGTAGACCGGCATAACCGGGAGATTAGGGAACATAAAAGACACCAGGGTTCAAAAAATAAGCGGATGAAATATTTTACAGAAAAAACTGAATACGACGAAATCAAAATATAAAAGAGTAAAAAAGATTATTTTATAATAATCATAATGTAGAAATACATGCAGTCGTAAATGCGTAGGCTGGATAAATGTCCACAACAAACCACATCCGTGAGAACCGAGATATCGTATATGTAGGCAAGGGGTACGGGGGACCTCATATATAAGGGAGCCCGAATCGGCCTGTTTTCAGACGTGTACTACCACCCATTAGAGCAAGCACCTTCACGTCACTTTGTACAATATTACTTTGGACTTAGAAAATTATCGAACGTTATAATAAAATTCACAATACACAACAACTGTTTTGTTATTCATTTATCTACCACGACTTCAGCATCAAATAAAGTGTCTGCGACCTGCATCTATAACGTCTTGGTAGCCACTTATCTACTGTCAGCACTACGATAGTAGGTACAAAGCCACCAGATCGTTACACTTATTACAAAATATCCAATGTGGATTTAGTAAATTTATTTAAATAGCAACCATAATATTTGTCTTACCTGGGATAATAATACAATACGAACAAAATATGTGTATACTATAAAATATTGACGGAATATAATATTTAAAATAAAGAACGAACGAGGAACGTCGGGCACAATATTATTTTACTAATTACGACAAAATCACGGACTAAGATAGAGAGAACAACAATATGATGGAAACAATCTTATGTATTTTTTATTTATACGTTTCAATTTTCGATCACAGATCGACGATTTACAATCGTTTTATTGGTTTGTCGTTTTGTCGTTTCTTCTTATCACGGCACTATAAACAACTTTTGGCGGTACCGGGCTCTTATCGCCACTTAAATGCCACGTATTACAATTTCGATATGGCTGGTTCACGGTCTTGGAATATAAGGTCAGGCAAGTTTCGATAGGAGCACATATTTATATTCCTATTTAATTTATATATTAAACATACTAATTAACATTTAACATAAACATTAAACTATAAGGATTAAAATTTAAAAAATCTTATAATTAAATGTTGGTTAATTATACCATGTCATATATTATATGGTTTTAAAAGCCACTAGAGCGCAGCAGAGCACCCGTTCCTGTTTGCTCCGTGATAAAAACGTTTTTGTAAGTAGGTACCTATGTATTTTCAATTGAGTTGCACCGGCTGGTTTTATTCCCAATTTCATTGTATGGCTGGTTTGGAAATTGAATTTGCGATATGGCTGCTTTTGAAATTAGAATCGTCAGATGGGTGATTTTGAAACCAACTAAAATTTTCCATGGTCAGTTATAGCCTTATTTAATGTTTAACATTTTTAAAGCATTTTTAATATAATTTGAAAATACAAAAAAGCCAGTTTTCAAAAAAAGTGCTTTTGACTGGTTTTGAAACTACACTCCTCATATTGTGTTATACCAACAGTGGTACGTTTAGGTACTGTCTAATTTGCTGATCTGCTGATTTACTGATTTAGTATAATCAGTAAAATCACGCTCCGCAGTTCAGGAAAACTGCTGATTTGCTCTAAAACCTGCAATACTTTATAAACAATTTTGAATTTTTTTACTTGTTATGAGTTGTACCATATTTAAATACATTGGAAATTTCAAGTACATACCTCGAAAACCCATGCCATAATTTTTTATAAAGTATTGCGTGTCTTAGAGCAAATCAGCAGATTTCCTGAACGGCGGAGTGTGATTTTACTGATTTGATTATGTGAATAAATTACTGATCTCGATTATAACTGCATAGGTTTTCGAGGTAGACACTTGAAATTTCCAAGGTATTTAAATATAGTACAACTCATACCGTGTAAAAAATTTCCTAATTTTTGGTTAAGTTTTTAGGTTTGTGATATTTCTGCGACAAGTAACCCGGAGGTAAAAATCGATGGGACAACCTGGACTTTGGTAGGGGGTTGTATGGGGGTATTATAAAGGCACTTGTGGAGTTTGGACTCATTTGGATTTTGTTTGCCCATGCTACGGCACTTAATGATGATTTAATTTAATTATTATACTTCTTAATTTATAATTGTTATTTTTTAGGAGGCGGTAGTCACGGTAATTAGTATATCAGAAAGGTTGACACTTTCAGACAACAACAATATTAACAGCAAACAATGTCTAATGCGACAAATTGTGAAATATCAGTAATCTTTTAAAACTAGTTTCATTGTTATCATCATTATTTATTTTATTACCTATTTAATATTAAGTACCTACCTCTCAATACTTTGTGATATACATAATACATACAATATTAGTCTTGTTAAGATTAAGTTGTTATGATAAACATGACTTTTTAAAAATTGAAATTTGTATATTTTTACTATTTAATATTGAACACATTATTAGTTCTAAAATTAGTAAATAATAAAATATTAAATGTATATTATTAATATTTGTAAAGCTCGTGTGTTATTCAATGAGTGTAGTTATTTTTCAATTTCATAAAAAATAGTTACTACATTTTTACTTTTATAAAGTAGGTACTAATTGCATAAACATTAACTATTTAATATTTATAGGTATATAAAAAAAAAATTTTCATAATTTAATAATTATAATTATTGAAATAAATGTATACCTAACGAAGAATATTCACATCAATAAATCAAATTATAATGATAATACAAATTTTAAGCCAAAAAAAATTCTAGTGAACATTACCTTAACCATAATATTATTAATTTTTTTATTTATTCAAAATAGTTAATTTATATACATTTACTACCCCTATTTATATTTATTTAACTTAAATATTCTAAATGCTAATAAATTCAATATCAATATATTGAATTTATTAAGTTTTTATTAATAAAATAATTGACACTCAGTTTTACAACTATTTATTAATTAGTTTTTTGTTTTCTTGTTTTTAAATTGATAATGATGAAGATAATAATATTAATATTATTTATTTTATTGTATTTAGTAAAGTAATTATATTTGCTTTTATATTTAGGAAACAACTACTCCAATGAAAATACCAAATCAACAACAATCCATGCCCTTACATGCAGATGCACCATCACAACATAATATGGCTAATATACATAATATGGTATGTTGGTATGTAGATCACATGAGAGTGACTGCGTTTTTTCTAATTTCCTAAATTACAATAATAAACAATTTTCTCATAATGTACAGTCTACATAATTATTTTACTTAACATGATTACTAAATTTTCAAACTATTCACAATTTCAATTAATAATTTAACAAATATTAATTGTTTTATATAAACTAGAAATTTAAAGTTATATTATATTATGCCTATCTAATATACTAAAATATATCCATATATGAAATTATTTTTGTGAGAAATACAACAAATGTTTGAACTATAGTATTCAATAAATATTTTACAATACATAACCTGAATAAAAATATAAATTTTTATTGTCAGTGCTTTGAAGTAGATTGTAGATTGTAGACTGCGCTCCTACCAAATGAGTCTTAATTTGTGCATACCTTGAACAAGTGGTTTTTTACACACCAATG